AGCAATCATGATTGATTTTTTTGTTACGATCACAAAGAGTTATCTTGGACATAGGGTTTGGTGTCTGGAATCAGAAATTGTCATGATTATTGCAGTATTAAGCATAATCAATAAGCTGTGGTCTGCTGGCGGAGAAAAAATAAGTTTGTCAAACTGTTGTGTTTGTTATGCTCCAATTGCCTATCTAGTTTAGCTTTGTGCTATCTTGCTAGGATAGATTCGTAGATGAACCTTCCAGTGCACACCAGCGAGAATCCAATTTTGCTCTTTGAAATTGATTTGTTTGTTCGCTTTTCTTGTAATTTGTCAGCATACCTTTCTGTTGCATGCAGTATTGTCTAACAGTTTAACTTACAAACAGAACACTCACATGCCCAGCGACAGAGATGGTAGATGGCTCAAGGGTTTTATACTTTGAGCAGGTTCCTTTTAGCTTTTCCTCAACGTTTTAGAATCTATTTTCTTTATGTTTTATTTATGTTTTTTCTATCTTTTTTGTAGGCATTTTGGAGAACTCATCAGAAACCTTTTCGACAAGTATGACAATTATGAACAACTCATGCACTGTGTTCCTTTACTATGGTTTTGACCTTTAACACGTGTGTTTACCTGTCCTGCTTATGAAGATGTTTTCAAAACTGATTCTAGCAGTTTTTAAGAGTGGTGGCAAATTGTGGTAAATGGATGCCATAGGTTGTATCTAAAGAGATCCTTGACTTAAAAGCCTTTATAAGAATGTACAAGACCTTTTAATATTTTAATTAAACATGTTAGAATGTGGAGTCCACTTTTGGAAGACCATCATTATCTTGCTTTCTGCCTTTAATTTTTCTTCAAGCTTGGTTGTGTGTCTCGTGACCTCTTTCCAAAATTTGACTGATAATATTTGACGACTTTAGAAGACCTATTGGTTTACAAACAAGAATAGAATAAGCTAATAATGAACATCTTTAGATCCAGTGAGTCTGCTATCCCATCATGGACGAGTTTGCCCTGAATTGTAGGTTTGGTACTCATGCATTGAGTTTCTGTTAGACTGTTTTGTTTTTTTGAGGGATCACTAGATGCTTGTTTAAAACTATGATATTGTGCTTGTGCTCCGACATATTATTATCGCCTCGTTTGATTTACTTTTCTTTTGACGGTTATCTTCTAGGGCATGGAGAAATGTAAAATGGTGTCTGGATGGTAATTTATTGGAAGTACATGGGAAAGGGTTTGTGGTTGTGGTCACAGTTATTCTCATTCTTTAGGTCCAAGAAACCTGTAAATATGTTAAATAAATTAAAAGGTTATGTATGGCATGTCATGTTCGGGCTGTGTGCTTCATGGATTGAAACTAATCACTGTTGTCATCATTGCAGAGATTTTATATGGTGAAGCCTTGCCCAAAAGAGATGAAATGTGATGTTCAGGTATAAAAAAGACCTTGTCCAAACTAATCATTATTTTTCATTTTGACTTCTTATGATAAGTTAGAACTCGATCTTGTTTTATCTTTTTCTTTCTCAGTGTACAATTATCAATGCTGCTACCGTAGTTCATCATATTTTACCGTTTCATCTTTTTGAGAATACGTAGAAGTTATAATATCCATGATTTTTTCCTGCTATTTTTTGTGTTATCAGACTGCCTATAATTGTTTAATACATATGTGAATATCATTGCCTGATATAGCCCCATTTAGTTGAGAATATATCAGTTAGTTGTGACTCCTGCATCTTTTTACCTGGACTTTGGAAACCTGTATGCTTTCTAATACTTTTCATTACCTTTAATCAAGTCACTTGCTGATCTTGAATTGTAACTCTTAAGATATTTTTTAATGGACAGTTGAGTTCTTATGCAATAAGAGATGTGGAAGAGTACAAAAACTTTTGTGACCGTCCGAAGGATCAGAGACCACAGCCTGAGGAGGTTATTGGGGTATGTCTTAGTTTACAAGGGAACTTTAGATGATTTTTAGTCTCTGACATGTTTTTCTATTTGGATATGCTTGTATCTTGGTCTATATAAGTGATATTCCTTCGACAAATTAAAATGCAACAGAAATCACAGCCAAATACCATATTCTCACCTGTTTTTGGTCTCTGGATTGCTTTAGTTTCTTATCATTTGCCCCAAACTGTGGATTATTAATTAACAGTACTGTTGGCAGTTTTAAGTATCTTGCGATAAAATAATGCTGACCTTTGGGTGTTGTAGCATTTGAACGAGATAAACCACCATGTTTTTTTTATTACATTGTAACACTAATAATATGAGTTTTGGTAAGCCACTTCTCGAATCAGTCGGCAAATACTCATGAACATACTGATTTCTTCATGGTCATAGTGATTTACTTGTGGATTTAGAAAGGTAGGAATAACTGAGAAAGATGGAGTAAATGATTATTGCAGTATGAACATGTAGAAATTGCTCCAAGGAGTGCCTCTTGGAATTAATAGGTGTTACTAGCAAATACTCATGAACATGTTTTTTTTATTACATTGTAACACTA